GTATGTGTAAATATCCCTCCCCTCATTTGAGACCCCAGAAAAAGTTATCCCAGTATTCCAGGTTTAAGGTTTAATGTGGATCAGCAACTACTTGGAGCTAAAGCTCCACTAAGGTGTTTATTTTTACCAAATCAACTAAACGAACATATTAGTTTAAAGCAAAAATATATTTAATTAAACAGTATAGCAAATTAAATGACACAGTACCCTTCCACTCATCTCTCTTTGTTGTTCAGTTGTTTTCAATCTTGTCTGACTCTTTGTGACCGACCCTATTTAGGATTTTCTTGGCAAAAATACTGGAGTGGTTTGCTGTTTCCTTCTCTAGCTCATTTTACAGATGAGGAAACTGAGGCTAACAGGGTTAAGTGACTTGCCCGAGGTCACATAGGTAGTAAGTGTCTGAGGCCTGATTTGAATTCAGGAAAATGAGTCTTCCTGACTCCAGGCCTGACACTCTATCCACTGAGCCACCTTGCTGCTGATACTCTCCTGCAGTTTGCCAAACTAGCGGTGAAGGGGGCAAATCATACTTCTGACACTGCAAAACTGACCTCTGTTGAACAGCTACCCTATGCTAGAAGTCCAGGCCTTGGTCATCCTTGCTGTTCTTCTTTGAGCAGCAGATCCTATCTCCTCATGTCTATAGCTATTCTGCAATGGATGTCTCCTCTTGGTTAGTGTTTGCAGAGCTGCAGCCTCTCCAGAGTTGCAGACTTTTTTATCTCCTGCATTTAGCTGGGGATGGAAAAACTCAGAGCTTCCCTTCTTTGGGAGGGTCAAGCACTTTTTAGTCTGCATAGCCTAAGGCCATGAAAATTTCACTCTGCAAGGGAGCCAAAAAACAAATTAACAAACAACAACTACAAAAAAAGAGAAAAGTTACTGGCTAACACTGCCTATCATTTTGATTGACTATCTACAGCTCTTATTTGAAGTCCCTGGTCCTACCCAACTACTTGGGATTGTGGATTATGGAATTTCTTCTAATTCCTGTGAAGTCTTTGAGTGTTCCTCCATATGAGTCTGATTCTCCCATTTTGGGGATTCTGCTCTCCCAAAAACACCCAGGAAATTTTAGGACTGGGAGATGAGGAATCCTTCAACTCTCATAGTGCTTCTGGTTCATAAGTAAATAAACAGAGCTAGGTAGAGCTGATAGGGTTATCAATCGCTACTGTTCCTCTATATTATTGCCTCAATTATGTATATCTTTCAGAAATAAAACTGATTGTCCTAAGTATTCTGGCCAGCACAAAAGTGCTGGTCTCTATTTATGCGTCTTCTTTATTTATTTATTTGCTAGGCAGTGGGGTTAAGTGACTTGCCCAGGGTCACACAGCTAGTAAGTGTTACGTGTCTGAGTCTGGACTTGAACTCAGGTCCTCTTGACTCCAGGGCCAGTGCTCTATCCACTTCAGTGCCTAGCTGCCCCTATCTATGCATCTTCTTTACCAGGTGATATCTGCCCCAAGTATGTGAAGACTACCGCCCCGCCCCCCCCCCAGAGGAATGGGCAGATGAAAACAATTTGTTCCAGTGGCCATGAAAACAGCTGAAGCAGGTGCTGTGAAGTGCTTAGAACTTGGTTAGACATAGAAGACACCAAGGTCATCCACTCCATCCTTGATTTTTGCTCTGCCAGTGGACTTCAATGATTCTGGAAGAGAGAGTAAGGCTGGCAACTTTGTGCAACTCTACCTTACTTAAATCCAATTCACACAGAAGCCAAGACATCACCCTGGGATGTCATTGGTCCTCTTCAGAAATGAAGGACAAACCAAATTTATAAGAATACAAATCATTGCTCAATTGATAAATGGTCAAAGGATATGAATAGGCAGTTTTCAGATGAAATTAAAGCTATCTGTAGTCATATGAAAAAATGCTCTAAATCACTATTGATAAGAGAAATGCAAATTAAAACAACTCTGAGGTACCACATCACATCAATCAGATTGGCTAATAGGACAAAACAGAAAAATGATAACTGTTGGAGATGATATGGGAAAATTGGAACACTAATGCGTTGTTGGTGGAGTTGTGAACTGATCCAACCATTCTGGAGAGCAATTTGGAATATGTGTGCAAAAGGCAATAAAACTATGCATATCCTTTGATCCAGCAATACCACTTCTTAAGGTCTGTATCCCAAAGATATCTTAAAAATGGGAAAAGCATCCATATGTGCAAAAATATTTATAGCAGCTCTTTTTGTGGTGGCCAAGAATTGGAAATTGAGGGGATGTCAATCAATGGAAGAATAGCTGAACAAGTTGTGGTATGTAAATGTAATGGAATACTATTGTTCCATAAGAAATGATGAGCAGGCGTACTTCAGAAAAACCTGGAAAGACTTACATGAACTGATGCTGAGTGAAGTGAGGAGAACCAGGAGAACATTGTATACAACAACAGCAACATTGTGTGCTGACCAACTTTGATAGATTTAGCTGTTCTCAGCAATGCAAAGATCTAAGACAATTCTAAAAGACTCATGATGGAAAATGCTGTCTACGTCAAGAGAAAGAACTATGGATCTGAATGCAGATTGAAGCATAATATTTTCTCTGCACCCCTCTTTTTTTATTTTTTTCTTCTTTGTCTTAGTTTTTCCCTTTGGTTCTAATTCTTCTTTACAATGTGCCTAATGTGAAAATGTGTTTAATATGATTGTACATGTATTGCCTATATCAGATTGCATGCCATCTTAGGGAGAAGGAAGGGGAGAAAATTTAGAACTCAAAATTTATAGAAATGAATGTTGAAAACTAAAAATAAATTAATATATATTTTTTAAAATGAAGGACAAACAACACTAATAACGCTCTATTTTATATCTCATATCTTGCCTTCTCCACCAAGCCCTCTTCAGTCTACAAAAATGCTCAAATCAAAATCAGATCCAAAAACCTTTCCTTCACTTTGTTACCCCCAAAAGCAATTGTCTTATCTCTTCCTTCACCTTCTGACTTCACTGACAATTTCCTAGAAGTAGTTTATACTTGTTGGCTCCACTTCATTACCCACTCACTCCTCAATTCCTTGCAATCTGACTCCCTTCCCTTCGCCTTTTTGCAAATGTCCCTTTCCACAATTATTAATTATGCCCTGATTGTTCAATCTAGTAGCCTTTTTCTGTTGTTCTCTTCGACCTCTCATGATATGGAATTCTCTCCTCCCCTGATTTCTGTGACATTCTGCCTTCATGGCTTTTTTCTTTTAATACTGCTCACTCCTTTCTTATTTTGTTGGCTCCTTATTCTCCTAATAGAGGGTTCTTCAAGGTTCTACCCTAGGCTCTCTTCTCCTTATAGATTCTTTCCCTTGGTGATCTCATCTCCTACCATGACTTTATTGCTTTTAAGCCAATGATTCCTAAATTTATTTCTGCCCCAGTCTACCAAGAGCTCAAGCCCTAAATATTTGCAAACTACCAACTAGATAGATATCTTCAGCTCAGAATCCATATTCGTCTACCATAAACCTGCCCCTACCCCTAAATCTCTATGTTTGTTAATATAACAAATATCCTTCCAGGCTCTAATTTTGGGATGAATAGCCTTAAATTATTGCCCTCTGAATATAAGTTGAAAGAACTGGGGATGTTAACCTGGAGAAGATTATACTAAAAAAAAAAAAAGGGGCTACTCTCAAATATTTGAAGGGCTATCACATGTAAGAGGGATTACATTTGTTTCCTTAGATCCAGAGGTGGAAGTAGTGACAATGGGTTGGAAATCAAAAGGAGGTAAGTTTATGTTTTATGTAAAGAAAACATTTCCTAATAATTAGAATTATCCAGCAGTAGAAAGGTCAGCCTCAGGAAATAGTAGCTTGCCTCCTAGTAAAGGTCTTTACACAAAGGCAGAATAGACACTCTTTGGATTTATTGTAGAAGCAACTCTTATCTAGGTATCTGTTGTACTAAGTGGTTTTTGAAGTCCCTTTTCATTCACATTCAGTGATTCTGAGTCTAAGAGCCATAAATTATTCTTTTCTCCCTCCATGTTGTTGTCATTCAGTCATGTCTGACTCTTCGTGACCCCATGGATCATTCTGTCCATGGGGTTTTCTTGGCTAAGATACTGGAGTAGTTTGCCATTTCCTTCTTCAGTAGATTAAGGCAAACAAAGGTTGGATGATTTGCCCAGGGTCACACAGCTAGTAAGTGTCTGAGGCTAGATTTGAACTCTGGTCTTCCTGACTCCAGGCCTAGTGCTCTATCCACTGAGCCACCTACCTGCCTTTTAATATATTACTTCCAATAAGTTGCCTAGTCCTGCCATTTCTGTCTCTACAATATCTCATATCTATACCTTCTCTCCACTCCTAACCACTCTAGTTTAAGACTTCAGACAGGCAGACTGACTTAGTAGATAGGGAACTGGACTTAAAATCAGGGTTCAAATCTTGACCTGGGCAAATCACTCAACTTTTCTGTGCCTCAATTTCCTTATCTGTTAAATGAGGGGACAGGTAGAACTCAATGGTTTCTAATGTTTCTTTAGGCTCTAAAACTATGATCCTATGATCTCTTCTCATACTATTATAGTAGCCAATAGATTTTCAGTCTCTAGTATGTATCACCTCTCTAATTCATCCTTTACATCATTGCCATCATAGTCTTCCTAATACTCTGATAATATTATGTCACTTCTCTGCTTTACAAAAGGAATAATGCCGTAGTAAAATGAGGACTTAACCTGGAGTCAAGTGAGAGATCTCATGGGAAAAGCACAACCTTTCAGGGTCTTAGTTTCCGTTTCTGTACCTATCTTTCAGTATTGTTAGACTCAGGGAAGGTAGCATGCATCGAGTGTTTTCTAAACCTTGAAATGCTACATAAATGTTATCCATTTTTATTGGTCAAAACCCTTTAGTGACTCCTCATTGCTTCTCTGTTAGAGCATAAACTCCTAACCCTACCATTAAGGCCCTGTTTATTCTGACTTTAACCAACTTGTCCAATCTTTATTTCACTATTCTTTATTTATTAGGAGTCAGAGGTGAAGAAGAAGAGCTTTATAGGCACAAGGGAGAGCCAAGGCACACAGTAAGAAGATGGAAGAAGGAAATAAGCCAGTGTAGATATGTCAAAGAATGTGTGGAGGAGAGTGAAGTGTAAGAATACTGGGAAGGTAAGTGGGATCTAGGTTGTGAAGGACTATAAATGCCAAACAGATGTCTTTGTATTTGATCTTGGAAGTAATATGAAACCACTGAAATTTATTGTGCTTTAGGAAGATCACTTTGGCAGCTAAGTGAAGGATGGACAGTAGTGGGGGGAGACTTGAGATGGATTGAGATGATAATGCATTAACCCAGGCAAGAGGGGATAAGGGCCTATACCAGAGTGGTGGCTGAATGAGTCAAGAGAAAGAGAAGCATAAAATATATGTTATAAAAGAAGAAATGATGAGGAAAAACAATGTCGATTGGTTCTAGAGTAAGAGGACCTGGGTTCAGATCCCACCTATGACACTCCCTGTGTGACTTCGGACATATTAACTTCCATTTAATTCCCTTGGACCTCAGTTTCATCATCTATAAAATGTAAGAGGTCCCTTCCAACTCTAGATCTATGATTACTGATGGGGAAACTCCCTATCCAATGCAAATCGGCATTTTCTCTGCAACTTAAAATCTTAAGAAAATTACTTAGAGAGCACCATGAGTTTGAGTACTTAACAACAGTCATACAGCCAGTAGGTGTCATAGGCAGACCTTCATCTTCCTGTCTCAAAGGCCAGCTCTCTCTCCATTACATTATGCTTACTCTTTTGTTGAATGGAATATAATTAAATTTAATTCTTATTTGTGTGGATAATACTGACCTTAGGAGGATTGTTGTGAGATACTTATATATATATATATATATATATATATATATATATATTACTCTCAACCTTCTTATATGGTATATGTTATATGTACATTCAACTCTATTTTCCTCTTGTCGATACCACATAATTGTTTTTCTGTAAAAAAAATGGAATATTTTGTCTCTTGAATTGAAAATTTGTTACATCTAATAAGACGAACATTAACAAGAGAATTTGTAATGTTACCATTTATAATGTTAATATTTTTGTATCATGTGATAACTTAATGTTCACTTCTAACAGCTAGTACTTTACTGGCAATACTAGCAATTAATTCTGCTACTTTTTTATATGAATACTGCATTCCAATTATTAAAAAAAACTCCATGTTTGTCATTAGCAACCTAACAAAAGAATTGTTTATTATAGACATCAAATTTAAAATAAACTCAAAGAAGACGACCATGACATAGAACTGTCACTATGATGATTTTAAAAAAATTTCCATAGTAACCTTTTATTTTTTGTGAAAAACAATTAAGTCCTACTTTTATAGAATAAGTAATACATTGACATGCCATAGGGACTCCCTGGTCTTCCAAAATTTCTAGCCAGGTTTCAGAGACTTTGGTCCATTCATTAGATGATGCCAATGCCTCCTCCTTCCATAAAGTATTATAGCACATTTAAGGTTACTGTGGGGCAACTACAGTGAACTACTGTATAACAGAATTAGGATTGATGGGGAAGAGACTCCTGGGGTTAGAACAAAAGGTCCAGCAACAATGATTAAGAGAACCATATATAAACTACAGGTGTTTTTGTCATTATAAGAGGCAAGTAGTCATAATATATATCCAAGAAAGTGAGATTCCCAATTTTACAATTCTAAAAACTGATATTTTCGAGATGAGAGGACTAATTTGTATATTAATAACTCACATTTATATAGCATTTTATAGTTTGCAAATCACATTCCTTACAACAGACTTATGAGATTGGTTATACAAGTATTATTTTCATTTTCGGATGAAAAAACTGAGACTGAGAGAGGCAATGTGACTTTTCCATTGTCTCATAGTTACTCATATCTGAGACAAGATTCAAACATAGATCTCTTGAACACAAGTACAGAATTCTTTCTACTATCTGATACTTACTTTCTTCTTTTATATCAATCAAGGTCTGCGTTTTTATTTCCATTCTCCACATGGGGGCAGAATTATATAACATGCCTGTAGCGTGATGTGCAGCTTTTGAAGTAATTTCATATATGTGCATATATGATATATAATAGATAATGATAGATTGATAATATAAATATCATATATATACATAACAGATGATATGTTTGTTTAATTCCAACAACGATTCTATAAGGTAGGCAGGGAAGATATTTTTGTCCCTATTTTATCATTAAGGAAAGAGGTTTAAAGAGGTCGATGATTTGTCCAAGGTCTTGGGGGTTATAATGGCAGAGCTGAGAACCCCCAACTTCTTATTTCTAGTCTAGCACACTTTCTACTAAGCTATTCTTCCTTTCTGAATAGGAATCAATGGTTTAACTTTTAAAATCTTTTCATAATGCATACATGATGGGGAAGGGCTAGAGAGTTAGGCTTTGGGGAGAGGGTCAATAAGGCATGCTAAGGATCAAACAGGAACGTGGATTTTAAAGGGGGTAGTAAACTTCATGAGGATAGCAATCTTGTTTCATCTGAACTTTATCTGCCCCGATTCCTGGTATAGTAACTTGGAAAAAATAAGTACTTAATAAATATATGTTGGAGTAAATGGAGATTTAGAGTCTTTGTAACTGTCAAAACTTCCTAGACTTTCTTACATTTTTCTATTTGTCTTATGGGTTTGTGAAGGGTAGGAAAATTGAAAGGACTTGTGGCAGCATCTGAGAATAGATTGAGGTTATTCTTAGATTTTTGAACACATATCACTTGCATTCTTCAGGATTTCTGACTTTAATTGAATTAATTTATTCATTTAGTATTTCTATCAAATTTATTTTAGTTCCTGTCACATAGTAAACCCCTAAGAAACATATTTTCCTGAGGAAGTTTTCAGAAGAAACCCCAGCTATCAGTAACCATATGAAAAAAAAAGTTCCACTAATGATTAGAGAAAAGAAAATTAGCACAAACCTGCGATTCTACCTCATACCCATCAACTAGCAAAGTTGGCTGAAAAAGGAAAATGACAAATGCTGGAGGGGCTGTCAGAAAATAGGTGCATGAATATACTGTTTTACCCCGAAATGCCACTACTAGGTCTATACTCCAAAAACATCAAATAAAGAAAAAAAGACTAATATGTACAAAAATATAGCAGCCCTTTTTGTTAAGTCAAAGAACTGGAAACTAAGAGAGTGCCCATCAGGTACAGAATGACTAAACAAATTATATATGTGGATTGATGAAATACTTTTGTATTATAAGAAAATATGAAGGTGATAGTTTTAGAGAAATCTGGGAACTGATATAGAATGACATGAGTAGAACTAAGTAAACAATTTATACCCTAACAACAACACTCTAAACATTTGAAACTCTAAACAGTGCAATGACCAACTATAATTCCAAGGGACTCATGGTGAAACATGCTGGCTACCTCCCGACAGAGAGGTGATAGACTCAGGGTATAGACTGAGACATATAGATTTTGGACACAGCCAACTCGGGATATTATTGTTCAAAAGAATAATAATTGAAAAAATAATTGAAAAAATTAAACAAAATTTTAATAAAAGAAATGCTTTTTCATAATTCATTCTCTAATGTAATATCACCAGGATATGTCCTAGGGTTGTTACTACAGATAACCACTTTATATTTTAAAGTTTTATCTATGAGATTGCCCTAGTAAAAACACAATTCTGGGTTTACCAACCATGGCATAACAAAAGACTAAATGTAGTCTTGATGTTTCTACCTGTAACTTAAAGATTTTCGACCTGAGACTTATGCCTTAACTTATCCTGCATTCTAATCAAGTAAATTCAATAGAATTTTCCTTCATCTGTTTTAGTTTGCTTCATAATAGTCTCCATCTCCTTTCATGATACATTATCTTGACTAATTGCATTTTAAAGAGCATTTTGTGCTAGAAAAAATAAATTAGGTCATGGAATAAACCTTCTTGGTAAAGGCTAAATATTTTACCACATCTTTTAAAACTCCATTACGTGCTGCGTTAATATTCCAACACTATTCCTGATCTTGCTATTTGTTCCTGACTTGTGTAAAGAATGTCTTAACAAATTATACTAAATGGAGTCTCCCAAGGGTAAGGCATACTCCCTAGTTTAAAAAATCAATATCCCCAAATTGGGACAGAAAATAGTACAAGAAATATATTTACCTCAGAAAAGTCCATAGAGTCCTGAAAGTCTTTTTTTTTTTTTTTAAGGAGAGGAAAGAATTACTATCCTAATGTTTCCTATACTCAATGGATTGAAATGTTAATTATTGTTGGTAGTTGATTTATAGAGGTATAGTAGAATTTGAATCACTTACCTGTATTTACCCCAGATACCTCTGAAGTAGTTTGGAGAAAACTTAGATGGTTATTTGCCTGTACTTAATACTTGGAGAGTCATTGAAAATCACTCCACTTCAACACAACACAAAGCTGTGACAATGCAGCAGAATCCAAATACCTTAGAGTAACAATAATAACGGCTAGCAAAAGAGCAGCATTGGCACAGCTGAGAGCGCCCATCTCCTCCAAAGCAAAGGAGCAATTTGGAGGGAAGCTTCAGGAATTAGTCACATCATTGATGAGCTGGTTGTGAAACAGTGTCCTAAAAATGACTTTTCTACACAGTATCTGGATGTAGTAGTGTCACCAGAAAGTTATTAAGGGGTTTTGAAATTATTGAAATTTACCTTGGTAGCTTTCAAAGTGCTTATTCAAAAAAGTTTAAAGAAAGATTTTTGTGTTTCTTGTTATGTTACAGTAAGCATGCACCTCACCTTTTTGTCTACAGCAATAATGACTCCTACCTAAGTCCGTATGCTCACAGGACTTAGAACTGGAAGGTAACTTGGAGATCATCTAGGACAGGAGTGGGGAACCTGCGGCCTCGAGGCCACATGTGGCCCTTTGGGTCCTCAAGTGCGGCCCTTTGACGGAATCCTAACTTCCTTAATAAAAGGATTTGTTTTGTAAGACTTGGATTCAGTCAAAAGGCCACACACAAGGACCTAGACAGCCACATGTGGCCTTGAGGCCGCAGGTTCCCTACCCCTAATCTAGGACAAGCCCTTCATTTTATAGGGAACTGAGACCCAGTATGTTTAAGT